AACTAGTGCATAATAAATACTTGTTGACTTCGACAAGGCAGAGCTGTGCTGTCTAGGTCAGGCCTGAAGACAGAATAGCCCTGCCAAATATCCACAGTGAGAAAAAATGAGCAAATTCATTCATTAAGGTCCTTTCACACTTCTCTTGAGGCATTGTTGTTGCTGCTGCTTCAAGCAGCTCTGCTTAGATTAAAGCCATTGGTGCCCATACATAAAGGAAAATAGTTTTGAATTTCCAAAAGCATGTTTTAATTTCACACATCTTGCTCTGGACATCAGGAACCCAGAACCAATATTTTCATGTCCTGGAACTTGTCATCAAGGTCATAAGGCCTTCCTCAACTAATAACTGTCCTTCACAATAAGAGCTACCAGAGAGCCCTGATTTGTGACCATAGACATCAAAGTCCTACTCCCATTATGGAGGTGCCTCAGGGTTCTAGAAGATCATGCTGGGAGGGCAAAAGTTTTGGCAGAACATATCAAACTGGAAAGGCTACACGTACAGTCTCTATGGCAGATACTTTGTTTAAGGACCTAGCAGACTGGACACAAAGTGATGAATTTTTTACTCACAGCAACTCTCTAAGAGCATCTTATGTCATAGGATTGCAGTCTGCATCAGTGAAAGGAATTAATCTCATCGATGAAATCACAAATTCATGAATTATTGAAGTACTGTAAATAGCTGATTTTATTACATAAAATGTGTGTCATCATGACATACAATGTGAAATAATATCTTTTTGCAACATACCAAGTTAGCTGTCTCTTGTTCATGCCTGACAGGTAGAGTAGGTAGTTTTTGCTTCTTTATCTCACCCTGAATCTACTGATAGCTGAAATGTCTCCATTAAAGATTTATTACTTTGGACTAATCTTTGTCAGACTAGAAAATTGCAAATACTTCAGTAAATATTAAGTAAAATATTAATTTTTTAACACTTCTTAGGGCAAACAGGTTTCTTGGGGATAAGAGTTAGTCCCTAACATCATGTCAACACCAGGAGTATGGATTAGGGAAAGGGCATGGCTAAATTATCCAGTAGATGCATAAACAGATAACTGACCATTCCTGCCATTCCATATCAGCCACTTGCATCTCTTAACCTGGTCTTTAGCCTCTTATGAAAAGAGAAGAAGCACCATTCCATCATAACAGTCTCCCATTGCTGAAGTGAGGAGAGAATCATTCCATCAAATTTCCTGCCTGGTATCCTTCCTTGGGGGAAAGAGAGTAGCATTATTCCTTCTGTTCCCAGTTCTTGCTCCCTCATTTGAACTGCCCAAGGCTCTGAAAGAACTCCACCCTGAGGTCATAACTCTATTAACATTGAAAATCTTTCTGAAATTTTGCCCTAATGATTAACACATTCCCCTCTGGTCATACCCTACCCATCTCAGTGATTCTAAACCCCATAAATCATCATTCAAACCCTATTCCCTATCTTCCTCTGCCTAATTCCTTATTCCCATTCACTTTAATCCTTACCATGTCCTTATTCCACTGTGCCCTCTGGAATGCCTATTTTATAGGCAACAAACTCGCTTTCATCTTAAATCTTTTCCTTTTCCACCTCTTCCATCCTCTGGCTCTCACTGAGACCTGGCTCCTGCCTGATGAGACAGCCTCCCTTTCCAGCATTGGCTGTACTTTCACTCATCTCCACCCCAACTCACTGGTCAAAATGAAGGAACTGGGAAACTCCTTGGTCCTCCTTGCTGCTTCCAAGTTCTTCCCCTACCACCATCATTCAGTAACCTCCTTTGAGGTTCCAATGAGGTTTACTCAATCAGTATCAACCACCCAATTAAAATTCTGGTAGCTATTGTTTACAGACCTCCAGGGCATTTCCCTTCTTCAAAGAGTTCAGTATCTGGCTCACAATCTCTCTCTTCTCCCCACCTCCTGCCCTCATACTAGGGGATTTCAATATAGATAGATAGATAGATAGATAGATAGATAGATAGATAGATAGACTGGTAGATAGATAGGTAGTCCCTCAGATATCCCCAATCCCCCACTTCCTCAGCTTATTCATTTCCAATGACCTACTCCTGTTCTTCATCTCAGCCATGCACAAAGATAGTCATACCCTTGATCTTACCATTACCAACAAACGTACCACTTCCATGTTTATGAACTCTGAAATTCCCTTATCTGATCACTATTTATTGGCATTCCACCCCTCTCTCTGCCTTTCAGTACCTAATTTGACCTCAGTACATCATACACTCCTCTCTGTCCTCCTGTTCCCCTCACCCCTTTCATGGAATGTAGTAATGTAGAAAGAACCTCTTTCTCCCATGTCGTAATATATTAAAATTTTTGATTCACCTGGAGGTAGGGTGTTGCCAGATTCTGTCCACAATGCCTCCTGTCTGCTTCTTCACTATTACCTCTACCATATTTCCACTCTTTACCCCTGTCTCCTTGTGTACATTTAAAAAGAAGTTTCTTGTTGGTCATTCTTTGGTCACCCTGTTGCTATTGCTGTCCTTGACTACTGCATTTATTTACTCCTCTTGCATGTCTGGTTTTGGGGCCATTGGAGAGAACTGAACTCCCTCTGTTCCTTAGTTCTTAGACCCAACACTTGATGTTTAGAGCTTTGCAAGTGCCAGTGCTACAGGATTGTCTACCTTGGCATCTGCTCAGCTGGTGTTATGGGGTTATTGGCTTGTCTCTGGCTCTGTTGGTGCTACAGAGTTGTCTATCCCACAGTAGCAGGTCAGAGCTTTGCACCACTAGTGCTGCAAGGTTGTGGCCCCCAGCAGGCTTGTGGTCCTAAAGGGTCATAGCCTCCTGGCTGGCTGTCACAATCAGGGCAAATTTCTGCAACCTGGAGCTGGAATCTCTACAGCACTGGAAAGAGGGAGGGGGGAACCAAGTTTGGGGGTGGATTTTGTTATAATCCTGTGGCGTGTCCTTGAGTCTGCTAGTACAGCCTAACTACTGATAGTATGGGAAGTAAAGAGAGGTGATGAGTAAGGTGAGGGTTGGTCGGCATCAGTTCATGGGGTTTGGAGGGTTTTTTTAACCTTCTTTTGATTCCAGATGTGTTAGACAATGGAGACGGTTGAATTTGCTTTATCTTTGTCATGTAATTTCTGTTTTGGAGAGGCTTGAGAGGTTGTGGGGATCAGAAAAATGTCTAGTTTTCCATCTTGTTGCTTGTGTGACCCAGAAATTGGTAAAATCATTTTTCATTGCTAAATCATTTACACTTATAAAAATGTTGCCATCAGAGTGTCAATGAAACCAAAATGCCTCTCAGAAAGGAAAATCAGAAGCAAGGAGAATAAAAAAGGAGGAGGCAGAGGACACCTAAGATGAATGTAAGATAGTGTGCTAGTAGAAAGCCATGGCCTAGAAATCCAGAGGCCTGGGTTTTAATCCCAGGGCATGATCTCTTCCTCTTTCTGAGCTACTTTCTGCACCTATAAAATGAGGGGTTCCTAAACTAAATGATCCTCTTTGGATTTTCCAACTGTTTCAATATTCTGTGATTCTAAGTCCCAATATTTCTGGAGGTAGACTCTCATACTAAAGGTCTGTCACTGTGTTGAGGTCAATGCCATCTGTAATAGATTTCATACAAACACACAGACACACACATATACAGAGTACTTATCTTTTGATATATCATATACTTAAAAAATGTCTACTTTAAGCCCATTCTTCTTTAAACTTGTTTCCTTCCTCTCACCATCATCTCCACCCCAAAACAGAGCAAGAAAATTTGGGTAGTGTAATTGATCATGGAATCATATATGTAGAGCTAGAAGGCACCTCAGAACCCAGCCTGCTTATCTTACCCTTTTATGAACTAAATACTTGATTTTAGTGTAGAAACTCTGTGACATTTATTTTAGATACTCAGAAATGTGGTGGGGTTTTTTACTTCCTAATTCTCAGTTATGTTCTCAGTAGGCAAGCTTGCCAGGCAGGTGAGTTCTGTATTTATTTTCAAGTCAGTCTATGGGAAAAATGAATGTAATGACTGAAAATCACTGTTTTCAAAGTACTTATATTCTAGTTCAGTGCTTCCCAATCTAAATTGTGCAGCAGACCAGCAAAATATTTAAATTCTTTACCATGAACCACTATGCCCTCTTCAGCCTCAGCATGGTGGCTTTCCCAGTTCAATGAGAATAGCTTTTTGTATATTATGTTCCTCCCAATTTCCATGGAAGAATGTGTTCATCCCTTTAGCACACATAGTTTCTAATGTATTAAATTTGGACACCTTCATTCTTGAGGCTGGGAAACCTAGTCCCCAGTCTCTGTGGTTGTTTGTTTTTCAGTCATTTTAGTCCCCCATTTGGAGTTTTCTTGGTAAAGATACTGGAGTGGTTTGCCATTTCCTCCTCCAGTTCATTTTATAGATGAAGAAACTGAGGCAAACAGGGAAAAGTGACTTGCCCAGGGTCACACAGCTAGTAAATTTCTGAGGCTGATTTGAACTCATGAAGATGAGCCTTCATGATTCTAGGCCCTGCACTCTAGCCACTAAGCTGTCCTAGTCCCCGTGGTATATTTGTGTAAATTTGAGTCTTAACTATTATTTTGATTTTGATTTTGAATGTATGATATATGATGTATAATGTGTCATCATCAGTACAATCTGGTTACATGTGCTTTTTTTCTTTTTTTTAATCAGTCGCATTAATGTCTTCTCTTTTTATAACACAGACATTTTCCTTATAGTTTCCCCACCCCAGTAGAACTCTCATTGGAAAAAGTTTAAAAATGAGTAAGCAAAACTAATACAGCAGTGACTATACCTGACAAAATATGTGACATTTGGCAACCATGGTCCCCTACTTCTCTGTGATTTATGTATATTTATATCCCTTACGTTATTATCGTCCTCTATGCAGATGTTTTCCTTGTTGATGCTGACATTTTTCCAACGTTTAGAATCATGCTGAGATCCTTTTTGATGGCTCTCCAACCTCCTTGTTTAACGTATTCCCTCTTTTCTTTTGTTTCTTAGGCCAATGTTGACCAGTGCAAGCAAATTGATCCTGGGGATGAAGTGATCCAAGTTAATGATCAGACTGTGGTAAGTAGATTGAGTTTTATACACTGTCCACTGTGGATGGAATTGCTTATGTATAGGACAGGAGATATGTGGACTCTAGAACTGGAAAGGACCCTAGACAGCATCTAGTCCAATCCACTCATTTTACACATGAGGAGACTGAGGCCCAAAGTGACTTGCCTAAGGTCATTAAAGTAGCAAGTAGAGGAGCTAGGCTTTGAATCTATTTCGTTGAATTTCCAAATTGCCTACCTGTTCCAGAATACTACAGAATAGGAGGATACCCATTGAATTGATTTATGTACTGACCATACTGTTCAGGACTCAGGAGTGCTGAGACTCTTCTGTTTTGAGGAAGCTTAGGGACACTAAGGCAAGATCAGAGACAAGCCAAGACCACAGTTAGCCAGCAGAAAGTCATCTGTCAGGACTGCTCTCAGATGTCAATTTGAATCATAGACAGGAAAGAGGTGGGGCTAGGAACCAAGTGAACCCAGACCGGTAATAAGTCAGACTCAGAAACCAAGCATAAAAGCAGGCACAGGGACAGTCTGACTTGCTGGTGAACTCTTTAGACTTCTTACTCCATAATCATGAAAATATTGGTTAATTGGAAACTATCATAGGTATGCCAATGGCCAGCATTTGATACACCAGGTTGAGGGAGCAGGGCAGCAAGAATTTAGCAAACTAAAGCAAATGACTTTGGATTTCAACATTTCAATTCATGTATCCTTTTTTCCTTCAATGGAAAAAGCTGCCTATTTGTAAAGCCATACAAACACTCCATCATCCATTCAACAAATGTTGATTAAGCAAAAAATCCTTGTTAAGTAACAAATACATATTAATACTTACCTTGAGGGGCAGCTACATGGCACAGTGGATAGAGCACCAGCTCTGAAGTTAGGAGGACCTGAGTTCAAACCTGGCTTCAGACACTATAACACTCACTAGCTGTGTGACTCTGGGCAAGCCACTTAACCCCAGTTGCCTCACCAAAAAAAAAAAAAAGTACCTCAAGCTAGTCATGGTGCTGAGACGTGGTAGAAAGCCTTTGGCCTCCATATCCATTTTATTCTCACCCTCTGAATACTGCTACAAGTGCTCTGGATAGAAGGGAATTTAAGAAACACTTCCACTTTCCAGGTTATCAGGTCCCCCCCTGTTATTTGGGGAAATGCTCTTAATCTTTGCAAAAGCACAGCAGAGACAATTAAAATGATCATTCTGCCTTCTGCTGCATCAAAGGACTCAATTCAGCTTGTTTCCACAGTTTATATTTACTCTCTTTTCAATCTAGGACTGCTCCTCACAGTTTGGAATGGGATAGTGAGTTACTTGGTAAGGATTCTTCAGAATCCATAAGGACAACAGAAAACAAGATACACTGACAGCTTCTAGGAGAATCTAAAGTTTTAGAGACATGAGCCACATATTTTCACAGTCTTCCATTTTGCCTTTCCTGTTTTTTTTAAACTGTTCAGCCAAATCAGTAAAACAGCATGGTTCACTAAAGTTCAGAAACTCATTAATTCCACTTTCAAATAAGATGCCATAAGTGGGAAATGAAAATTTTAAGGACAAACTCTCTAAGGAGTCCATTCCGTTCCATCAGGTCAGCCTTCATCTAAGACTAACAGTAAAAATACCAATAAATTCACTGCCACAGCATTGATAAAAGATGCTATAAAGCACAGTTTTCAGATAATATTTATCTGTATGAGATATCACAGATTATCAAGATGAAATAATTATTTAAGAAACAGACAAAAACTCTGTGTTCCTTTTACTGAAAATATGGATACCTCACATGAAACAGCTAGGTTTAAAGGAAGAAAAACCCAAGTGTATCTGTGTAGCCATGAGCAGTCTTAAAAGCCCAGAGACTTAAGTGATGGGGAAGGAAACTGGTTATGATGAACAACTAATTCGAAAGGCAAAAGAGCAATCATTTTTCCAAACATGCATAAAGGTGCATAGCTGGGAAACATTCTCTGGGAAGGAAACTCTGCAAAATGTGTGTGGAGGTTAAGTTGCCACACTATGATCTTGTAACCCTATATTGCTCTCTACCATGGAATAATGCACATTGAGAAATCAAGTCCCAACGCCTTGGATACAATTCTTTGGTTTAGCAGGACTTATGCACTAAGGAAGTACAGGGTGAGTATTCAAGGGACAGGTTGTTTTTCCCTTGACCTAGAGAAAGAAAATCTTAGAGCAAAGGCTAAATGAGGCTAAAAAAGACTATAGTTCAGGTTGAGGGACAATAGAACAATAACTCTCGCGGCTGCTTCTGGCTCCTCCCCCACCATCAAAAGTATGTTCCCCAAAAAAGTGGCCTGGAAAACAACCCCCTCTTCATCCCATAGGTGGGAAGGGCCGATACCTCACAATATTTCCTCTTATCATTTCATTGAATTTTTTCATTACTAGTCCTTATGGCTCTGAAAGTGTTCTGGTTGTTGGTGACTTTTAATACACAGATTTTTCAATTCAATGGAGGAGAAAGAAAGCCTGTGCCCTACTAGTGATGGGAAAGAGCCTGCAGTCACACGAGAATGTTGCCACCAATTTCAGGTGTTGCATTTTCAAGTCTGTTTGGATTTGGCATGAGCCACACTTTTAGAGACCTCTCCTGACGTATATTGAGACACCTGGATACAAACATTCTTGCCATACTTTGTTGTTTTTCCCCCTAAGCAGGGCTGTGTAATTGATTAATGAGCCTTCCTTTCTCACTGCAAATCTGCCTTTGCAAGTTTACTAAGTTTGATTTTTTTTTGACTCCTGAAAGGGAGGAAATAAGAATTTATTAGGCACCTATTGTGTTCCAAGAACTGTGTTAAATGCTTTCCAAATATTATCTCATTTGATCTGTACAACAACTCTGGGGTATATGTACGATTACCCCCATTTTACAGATGAGGAAACTGAGGCAGGTAGAAGTTAAGTGACGTGGCCAGAGTTAACGCAGGTCTTTCTGACTCTAGGCCCAGTACTTTGTCCACTGTGCCACCTAGCTCCCTAAAACTGTCTCGTCAAATATGGAAATATCTGTTGCATGACTGCACACGTGTTACCTGTATCAACTTACTTGTTTTCTCAATGAGGAGGAAGTCACAAAGGGAGGAAGAGAATTTGGAGCTCAAAATTTTAAAAAAATATATGAAAGTTATACATTTTTTACATGTGATTGGAAAAAAATTAAATATTTGAAAAAATAACAAAGGAACAAGCCTGAAAAAAACCCAATCTAGTTAGTCAATAGACCTTTATTAAGTGTTTACTATGTGCCAGTTACTATGCTGAGCACTCAGGATACAAATAAAATAAAAAATAATCCCTGCTCTCAAGGAGGACAAAGGGACTAGTCCATGGGCTGGAATTGTGCCGATTTTATTTTATAAAGGCCATACTAGAGCCATTTGCTTCAGATTTTCCTCTTAAATATCAGCGAACTGATGGTTTTCAAGACATGTTTCTTAATGGACAAAAATTAATAGATTCACTTTCTAATTGATCCTGTATACCATAGCAAGATTAATTTTCTTAAAATACTGTGTTAGAATGAATTAATGTCCTCACATTAAAAAAACAACTCATTAGATCCCTGTTGCCTACGGAATGAAATCCACATTCTTTAGCTTGGCACTGAAGGCCCATTACAATCTGACTCCACCTGTATCTTTCAACATTTCATGATTACAAGCCTCTGCTATTGCTAGGTTGTATTTGTTGTCCCTGGAGCATGTTAGAAGCATTTAAAGTTCCCCAGCCTTTGCTCCTTCATTCAGGTCCCCTTGCCTTAGGATGCCATTTTATTTCCTTTCTGCTCATCTAAATACTGCTGTGTTTTCATCATCATTGTCGTTATCCACAACATCTTTGTAAGCTCAAAAGCAGCAGGGTACAGATGAAAGAGACTTTGGAGTCCAAGGACCTGGGTTCAAATCTCAGCTCTGCCATGTTTTAACCTGTGTGACCTGGGGCAGATTACTTAACTTCCTTTCTCATCTGAAAAATGAAGGGATTGAATTAGATAACCTCAGAGGTTTTTTTTTTCCAGTTCTAGATCTCTGATTCTTCCCCAGCATCCCACTCTGTGCCCTACGTCCTCTGTAGCTTTTGGATCACTTGAGCCCAGGAAGGCCCTTCAAATTCCTCTAGTACTTGCTGTCTAGAATCTAGACACAATCTAGACCAAAGGTGGGGAACCTGCGGCCTCTAGGCCACTTTCCTCAGGTGTGGCCTTTTGGCCGAGTCCAAGTTTTACAGAACAAATCCTTTTATTAAGGGAATTTGTTGTGTGAAGTTTGGATTCAGTCAAAGAGCTAACCTTGAGGACCTAGAGGGCCACATGGGACCTAGCTCCCCTCACCCCCTGCAGGTTCCCCAACCCTCCTCTAGATCATTCTTTTGCTACTTATCATCTTTTGTTATTCTATTTGGGAGTATCTTTCCTATGTCCTTATCTGGTTTCTAATCTCCTTGCTGTCTGGTCCCATGCCTTAAACATCTTTGTATCCCCCATTGTGCCCAGGGATATGCCTTGCATAGAGATGCTTAGTAAATGTCTGTCATTTGATTTCTTGGTGCCAGATTTTTATAAACAACTTAAAGCAAAGGATAAAAGGAGGTAGAAAAGCATAAGATTAAGACCTTTTTCTTTCATTTACCAACTACTTGACTTTAGGCAAGTCAGGTAACCAATTCCCTCTCCCCTATTACCTCATCTCTGCAATGAGGAAACTCTGTGTGTGTGTGTGTGTGTGTGTGTGTGTATGTGTGTGTCTGTGTGTGTGTGTGTGTCTGTGTCTGTACATCTACATCCATCTTTCTATCTATCTATACACACACATCTAAACATCTATCTTTTAGTGTTGTTGTTAGGAGCAAATGAGATAGATAATGGATGTGAAAGTGCTTGAAAAAATGGAAAAGGCTTTATGCTTCATATGTAAAGTATTATTGTGGAAAATAGAAAATTTCTTTGGTTGAAATGATCTTTGCTATTC